TGCCCTGAACTATTTTAGCTTGTTGAAATACGTGTTCGATCCTAAACCAGTGTTGCAACATCCGAACGCTTCTGAAAGCAGGATCAATCGACGGAAAACGATTTTACTCAGTTTTTTCTAATTACTTATTCGCCTATTAAGTGGCAGGGTAGGTACTAACTGAAAATATGTAACTCAGTTCGAGGATGCGGTTCCGCCCGACATTCGGGAGCACTCATTAATATCAGACACATCGATTGTGCTGCATATTCTTCATTAGCATTCTTTTATATAATTCGAAACCAACAAAAATTTCTCACATTAAACTTGTTGCCGCATCACTTAATATCTTATTTACTGACTAACGTGGTGCATTATGCGTGCAGTACATGAGAAAGTCTGACCGTCTGCGATTCGTTTATTCGTTTCGAAGTAAATTTGCAATGACTTTTGTCAGGAATCAATCCCGCCATTAGCTTGCTTTCAAGCTACACTCAAAAGAAGGAACCATCGGCAGCCTTGCTAGCTGGCTTGCATTCGCTACTCTTGAGTGCTTCTGCCTCTTACAGAAAGCAAATACAACGGGACTTGATCTTCAAATTATGAAATGAATTTATTGTTAGAAATCTGAGGAAGATGGATGAGAGATGCATTATTCTGGATGTTGGTGGACGCATATTCAAAACGCGGCTCAAAACACTGAATGCTGTTTCCGGATCATATTTCAGCCAGCTGCTCACTGCCAACAATGGCCATCCGCCCAGTTCGGTAACAATTCCATGCCGGTGTTTTCCTGTATTTGTTTCAGAAATATGCAAACCGCAGTCATGTTTAACCAAGATTTTGAGAAAGTGGACATAGTCCATTGAGATATTAGTGAATTTTGTTTTTTGTTTTCAGAAAAGTGACCAGCTGCGATTTTTTCTCGTCTTTTTCGCTATAGTGTGTTCCCGGTTCATTTGCAATCATCCAGGGACTGGTCAGAGTTTGAGAGCTGCCAAGAAGCAGTGGTTTGAGATCGTCTAAAACAGGATTCAGCAGTGTCCTTAAAGAGGTCCTCCATCGGACTAGTCGAGAAATCGGGAGAATGTTTGCGTAGAAAGTCGCATTTTGTACCTTCGCACTGCCAAATGCGATTTTCGTCTGAGTTTTTGCTTAATGTAAACGTTTGGATTTGTGCCGTTATTCCTAGTCGCCCGTTTTTGCTTTTGTGGAAAAGAGGCAGAAGCTAACGTTTCCGCACTTTCTCCCCTCCCATACTTTCCAGCTGCTAAATCTACGGTTTTCAGGGGGATCGAAAATTATGAAGCACCACTGTTTACTGTTGTCGACTTTTGATTCTACAGCTTGCAAAAATTCTCGCGCAAAAGTTACAAATCAGAGTCTCAAAAAATAAGAAACATTCCATTCTCAACTTTTCTTGCAAAATTAGTTTCTAAATATTTTTAATTGGGGCATATTTAGAAAAAATAACTTAAGCTCTATTCGAATAGTTAGCCTGACAAATTATTATAAATTGAAGAAAGCGGATATCAATGTGTTTTGTATTGGACAGAAATAGAAAAAAAAGAACCACTCATAGGATGAGGTAAAGAAAACAAGGCTTTTGGAGGGAGCAGTGTATGAAGAGACTGGAATGTCGTTACTATTTACGGAAGTAAGGGAAAGAAGAATGGGTAATGACAAATGAAATCCGCGCCGAAGAACCAATGAAATTTTTTTGGAGCCAAAAATATTTCAGGACGGATATGTATTCATCGATCGTGATGCTGATGCATTTCCGACAATACTGGGTTATTTGCGCCATGGAATCAACTACCCGCTTCCCGATGATGACTGTTATAAGCTTAGCCGGATTGCCTATGAAGCCCAGTTTTACAAGCTTCCTGAATTAGCGAAATGTGCCGAAAGGGCTCGTATCTACGCCAATTTGAATTTCATGTCACCGAAAATGGCCCTCACAAAATCACACAGCTCATTAGAGAGATCCAAGAATCGAGCAACAGCAACTGCAGCAGCTCCAGTCTTATCAATACGTAGGGCTGTTTATTCCCATTTTGCTTCTAGATCACTCTCTGACGAATTAGAACACCTTTTCTTCTGGGAACAAAAGAGTCAAGGATATAAGATCAATAAGACACCAGAAGAATCATCGAGGCAGTCTCTCATTTCTTCTACTTTATTTTTTAGATCCTGGATCCTGAACACGGTCTTCGGTTCTAGATCCTGAGCAAAGTTTTTTTTTTTTTGGTTCCTGAATATAAAATTTTGATTTTTGGCCCAAATATTTTGTCAACTCCTCCTGCACTGACATATTTTAAATCTAGGTTACCCGACAAAGCTATTAAACTTCATAATTTGGTCTATGAACCTGACAAGTTCTGCCAGTTACTTTGACCAGTATGCTGCTAAGGGCTTAGTCTTTGCTTCATCTCCTGAACGAATTCTGTCTCATGAGCGGTTCTCCAAACCGGGACATTTCCGTAGCATTAGCTGTTCCAGAATTCTTTCAGTGTTTGTTGACCGTAATTAACCTTAACTCGGTACTTTATTGATCAGGAAGCTAAATTTTATGTTACTAATAATTTTCACTTTCCAAGACCATTTAATGAACGTAAGATTGCACGCCAATGGAAATTTGGAAAAGTAGAAATTACAGTTTTCCTTTTTGCCTTTTGCCGAACTTCTACAAGCGCTTTACTTACTTTAATAAAATCCTCCCCATGCTACAATCCTTGATTTTCTTTAATCCTTTTGTTGCTTTTGTAAATCATACGTTTTTAAAGCGCCAATGCCACCACCTCTGCCACGAACGACTAGTAACAGTGATTCACTTGTGAAGCGATTGTCGAAAAGATTAACGAAGAAGCACGAAAAGGATGAAATTGGATTGCC